GTCTCAGTTTAGCTCTCACAGAAACAGCCATCGTTCTCCTTAGCACATACTAGTTGTTGCTTTATGCAATAATCAAATTTTGTAACAATAATGACATGTATTAATGGCATTAGGAAGTCTATGAACAAACCTGCTGACTTTTGGTATACATGTAACTTAATGGGAACAGACATGTGTGGCCCTTCATTAATCCACTTTACAGGGAGAAGAAAGATTGTGGTTTGACAGAAAGCTATATTAAATGGAGATGAACAGCCTCTGCTCTAGGTACATGAGTATGACATTCATTTACTGGTATGAACACCTAGCTGATTCAGCTTCTGGAACAACCAAGTTATGGAAGTCAACCTGTCTTAAAAATGCCATCAAGCAATTGTCCTCTCTCTAGGTTGAAGCTCTTTCCCGTCCTTGACATGGATGCTATGGAAGTGTTCAAGCTGTATATATGGGTTCTCTACTGTGTCTGGCCTAACTCCCAGAAATCCCTTCCCCTGCCTGATCTTCTCATTGGATTTGTGGCTTTGACTTTGGAGGCTTTGATTTGCACCGTTCATTACTTTGAATCTTCCTTTCACAGGTATCTGGCTTCACCAGCCTCTACCCCTTTGTAAATTCTTCAGGACAAATTTACTTGCCTGGCTTGGGAGAACCTAGAGGGGGTGCAAATGCTTAATAAACTCATTTTTTGGCTTCTCTGCAGAAAGTTATTTTACCTTCCAAGTTTCTGATGGATTTCATATCCCTAGGAATTATAGCTTTAACATCATTTCCACAGAGGTTCTGGGGATTATAGAGGAACTGCTTATATTTAGCAGCTCATGTGTGGCCTTCTCCCTACTCTAGAGACCTCCTATTTCTGAAACTCTTCATCTTCCAGTGCCCCGGAAAATAGAAGTCTCCATACTGAGCTTTCTAGACAACTTTAAAAAGATATGAATCTAGCCTTTTCCTCTCTATAGCAACCTGTTTGTTCTGTGATTAATATGCAGACAGAAGCAAATGGATGTGAATTTGCTTTTGTAAACAGCAATTAAAACAGGGAGCTTTGGGGGATAAAGGTTAAATGTGGTTAAAGTTAAGCTGAGAAAGCTACTGATTGGGAAATAGACTCATAAGGTCAGCTATGAGTCTAACCCTTCAACGATGAAGAAGGGAGTACTCTGAGTCAGGAAGTTAAAACTTTTCCTTACTAGGGGAGTTGTAGCATCACTGCTCCAATGAATTTTTTTATACAATTGTATAGATATCATAGTTATGGTTACTATTGCTGTGATGAAAAGAATATGACCAAAAGCAACCTGGGGAATTAAAGGGCTTATTTCACTCACAGTTCTGTATAACAGTTCATCATCACAAGCAGTGAGGGCAGGAACTCAAGCAGGGCAGGAACTTGGAGGCAGCAGAAGCCATGGAGGAATACTGCCTACTGGCTTGCTTAGTCTGCTTCCTTTTAGAACCCAGAACCACCTACCCAGAGGTTCACCACCCCCAATGGGCTGGGCCTCCTCTATCAATCACTAATTAAGATTCTCTACAGGCTTACCTACAATTGGATCTTATAGACATTTTCGAGTCTCCCACCTCTCTGCTAACTTTAGCTTGTATCAAGTTGACATAAAACTAGCCAGCACAATACATAATGTCAACAACTATCCTTTGGGGATTTTAATGTCCAAGGTTCTTCTTTGGGGCAGAATTTAAATAATTCTTCCCATTTTTCATAGATTGTAACTTTTTCAAATATTCATTTTGTTTCTACAGGTCTACAATCTGTTCCTGCAGGGTGGAGAGGGTTTCTGGCATAAACTCAGTACCTGTGTGTCAGAGTAGAGGCTTTCGCAGACTCAGGACTGTGCATGAACTCAGTTACTCTTTATATCGACCTATGAATGAGGAGCTATTATTGTGTTAATTTACTATATGGTGAAACTGAGGTACAAGCTACCAGCTATAGTAAGAAGCAGCTTTTATAGAAGGAATAGAATGTGTGGGTAAATCAGACACATAAGTTCTAAGCATAGTTCATGTGTAAAATAGTTCCACTTGTCCAACTGACAAACTAAATTCTAAGTATATTGCAAGCATTTGCCTTTAGCGAGCATGCAAGATTCTTTCTAGAGACAGTATTATTATTAGTTTTTTTTTTTTTTTATTGAGACATGGTCTCACATGTGGCCCTGGCTGGACTGGAACTCATCATATAGACCAGGCTGGCCTCAAACTCATAGACATCTGCCTGCTTCTGCTTCCTGAGTACTGGGATAAAAGATAGGTGCCACCATGCTGACTGACTGTATGGTTTTCTGATAATAAATGTTTGATGAACCTGATTTGAGAATCTCTTTTGCTAACATACTCCTGGGGCAAGGCTGTAGAGAAGCTGTAATGGGATATGACCCCTTTAGAATTGAATGACCCTTTCACAGGGATCCCATATCAGATATCCTGCCTATCAGATATTTACCTTATGATTCATAACAGTAGCAACAACAAAAACGGTGGGTTGTGCCCCATTTGGAATCAAATGACCCTTTCACAGGTATCCTATATCAGATATCCTGCCTATCAGATATTTACATTATGATTCGTAACAGTAGCAACAACAAAGATAGTTTTACAGCTGGCAGTCACCACTGCATGAGGAATGGGTCCCAGCATTAGGAAGGTTGAGAAACACTGCCCTAGCAACCTAACTCCTAACTGGAGATCAAGATGTCTGCCTAACAGACATCAACAAATGTAAACGACCAAGATAACTTAGTTGTAGCCACCTCCTTTACTTAAGGCCAATGAAAGAGAAAAATTTAGTTCAATAGAATCATATGTCTTGAGGTCCCTAACAGAAACTTGTAGAGTTATAACCTCTAATATGAAGTTATTCTGCAATGTGAAAGAACTTAGAATACAGGTAAGACCTACTCTTAAAATCTCAAACAAGCAGCGGTAATAAAGTCCTAAAACCATATAAAAATTCTTCCTAGTGCAATGACACTAAACTGATCCTTGAGAGAGATTTTGAATGAAAGTATAAATCAGGTCACTTGTGAAAACAAGAGCTATCTTAATTAATCTTGGTCCTAGTGCAAGCACAACTTTATTAGCCAAATCTTGTGTTTGCATGTTCACATGTTTGTGTGTCAGCCAGATGTTGACATGTGTTTTCTACTTCAGTTGCTCGTCATCCTGTTTTGTTTTGGGGGTTGTATTTGTTTTTTAGGATAGTCTCTTAATGAACCTGCAGCTCACTGATTGGCTAGGCTGGCTAACCATCAAGCTTCCTGGGATTTGCCTGTCTCTGCTTTCACAGTGTTTTCAATGTGCTGGGTGACACCTGCTCATTGCTGAGCCTGGCTTTGAAACTGATGCTGAGGATCCGAACTCAGTTCCTCGTGTTTGGGCTGCAAGCACTTTACCAGATGAGACATCTCCCCAACTCTAAAAGGCAATTCTTCATAATCATGCAGCACAATGTTTAGCTGTGATCACAAGATGATCCACAGACTCTACAGTTACTATGGAAAAAAGAGAAGTGTACAAAGATGGAGCAAACACCATGCACTGTGGTATCCTTTATTTAAAAATTGTGAGCTAATTGCAATTGTAGCGTTCTCATTCACCATTTGGATGGCATAACAAACTGAGAGAACATTAATACAGTCCCAGGAAGGCATTAACCTATAAACACGTATAACCACCCATGCACACATACACACAACATACACACAAAGATTATAATATAAACACAAACGTGATGAAAAACACTTTGAATGCTCTAAATCAAATTAGAACCCCTTTATTATAATAAACTGTGGCACTACTGTGGCTATAATGAAAGATATTGTAACTGCTTAAGAAGCAAAAAAGGAAAAATACTGGCAATTTGAAACTAGCAACAAAAAGCAGCCAAAGTAAGATGGAAGATAAGAAGACAAAGAAATATCAAGTTTCTAATGTTGGTACTGTGTACGATTGCACAGAAGTAATTTAAAGTTGATTTTTAAGGAACTATTTTAAAAAGTCCTTTGAAATATTAATTTGCTGCACTTTACAAACAGTGGAAAAGAAAAAAAAGTATTTGGAATGTTACACACACACACACACATACACACACACACAGAAAGAGGGAACATACTAGTATATCAGCTTATGGTCTTTGGTTATGACCTCCAAGAAGTTTTATAAGAAAAAAAAATTAAGTGCCAATGAAGTGAGAGAAAGTTAAAAATTCCTAAAGATGCAAGTCTGAGTGCACGAGGAGGTCTAAGAATATATCTCAAGGTTGGGGGCAAGGCATGACTGATGCCCAGTCAAGAAGGAAAACAAGGGCGGACCCCAGAAGGCAGGCCAAGCTCTGAAGAGTGTTGAGGATAAAGATGTATTCAACTCAGACTGTCTGGAAGGAGCTTCCAGAGCACATGGAGTTAGTTCTCCAGTTGCTCACCAGTTGAAATCAGTTTCATAACGCCCCATAAATAATTAAAAACCAGCATTTCGGCAAACTGGGCTTTCTACATACAGATGCAGAAATACCTACTGCACATTCAGGCTGATAGTTTGTTAATGGCACAAATATGAATCCTGGTTTAAGGAAAAAAGCACATTAGCAAAGATTTTTTTCTTTCTTTCTTTCTTCACAGATTCTCATGCAAATGTCTGAAGCTGCCAGACGCTTGCAAAGAGGGAGAGTTTAGTTTCCTACAGATTTTAGAGGAAAGGAGATTTTATTATTCCAAGGAAGTCAGAGAGTCATCCATGAGCAGGGCACCTGTTTTCAGGATGGAAGAAACATAACTAATGTCCTCATTGCTGCAACTCATGATAGCTTTAGAGCTAGGAAAGCTGGCCGGTGGAATGGGGAGAGAAAGAAATGGGAGGCTGAAGGTGGAGAGTTGGAAGTCTCCTGTGTCAGGATGGCTCAACTGAATCAGGATGAAATACTGCAGGATGGGGGCAAGGCTGGTTTTCTGG